CTCCTCACAAGTTCCCTACAGGCTTAAATAATGGTAGGAGGTGCAGACTCGGGGGGTGAAGTAAGGTCCTCCCAGGCTAGGCAGAATGGTGAGCCTGGTTCTGAGTGTCCTGGACCCATCCCAGGCCAGCCTCATTCTTCCCATCTGCCTCCTCTGCAGGCCCCTCCCTTCCCAAGAGGTCTGGGGTGACATGGGTTGGGTAGCGAGATGGAAGGAAGGAATTTGGGGTGATGAGCTCAGGCCCCTTTAACCCTGTAACCCAGTGCATACTGAGGGCAGCTGTGGAGCTGGATCACTGTGGGCAGCACACGTGCACGTATACACACACGCTCCCAAGCTCAGCCCCTGGAACCACATAAGCTCATGAAGGTTGCTGTCCATTCATTCACACAACAAACACTTCTAAGCACCTACAAGGTGCCTAGCACTCTTCCAGTGCTGTAAGTTTCAGCAGCAAACAAAATGGACCAAGATCCCAGCCCTAATGGCACTGACATTCTAGTGGGCTCACCCTCTCTCAACAGCACATCCACACAGATGTACACACACTGGCTCACACCAGACAGTACACAAATAACACACATGCCAATTCACACCCTCAACAGCGCACGGATGTACACGCTGTTGGAGTCCTCACCCCACCAGTACACAGACCCCGATGAACTCACACATACCCCACTTCAAGTTACCACTGAAACTTCATGAATTGCCTCATGCTTGGACATATTAGGATCACACAATACTACCCTTAGAACCTGCATGAAGGTGTAAATACAGACACATTACTACCCTTACAGTTTGCACAAACATGCAGGTGCACACCTCTACACATGGGTGCAAACACACAAACGGGCCCAGGCATATCCTCACGATGAGGTACTTCCCTGAAAGCACACACATGCACACGTGGCGGACAGCCCCAAAATTCCACTGGGGAGCCTGTGATGGTTCTGGAGCCAGACAGAAATGCTCACACATGGTCACCACATGGTCTTGTATGAAAACAAGCCCCCCATCCCCAGGGGGCGCAAGCAGAGGCAGGGAGGCCGTGTCAAGAGAAGCTGGGGTTGGGACTCCTGCAAGGGTGAGGAGAGGCAGGCCAGGATGAACACTCTTCTAGCAGGCACCATGGAGCCTGAGGTCATGAGAAGGAGTCATGGCCCCCATCTGCTTCACCGTCAGACAGGCCTTCACCTGTTACACGTATATGAGGCTCCGTCTGTCCTGAGTTTTTCTTTGTAGATTTTGTACACCTTGAGAGCCCAGGGTGCTAGGACTGCAGACACCCACAACTTTAAGTGTCAAAGACCCCTGGACACAGAAGGTCAGATCTGACAGCCTATCCCCAACTCTAACCTACAGGATAGTCCCAAATTGCAGGAAATAACTTTCTATAAATTTTCTCAGCATGGAATGAATTCTGGGTCCTCTGGCTACAAGGTCCACTCCTGACCATGGTGACCTGACCTCCCCCAGAGGTTGGTTAAGTGGCCTGAGGTTCAGACTCAGGCACTGAGAATGGGGACCGATACCCTGGGACCCAGGAGTGCAGACAGGTCTCTCATCCTTCCCAGCAAGTCAATGTGGGTGTTAATGCCAGGAGGGCCGTGGAGGGCATCTCACCCACTATTCACTGACCTGACGGGGAAACAGGCCTGACCCAGGTTTCCTGCCTCCTAAGCAGGAATCCAAGAGTCCCTGGGTGGCACAAATGATTAAGTGCTCAGCTACTAACTGAAAGGTTGGTGGTTCAAATCTACCAAAAAGCACCTTGGAAGAAAGCCCTGGCAATCTGCTTCCAAAAGGTCACAGCTATTGAAAACTCCACATGCAGTTCTACTGTGAAACTCATGAGGTTGCCATAAGCCAGAATCAACTCGATGGCAACTGGTTTGGATTTGGTTTTAACCAGGAATCCAGGCCTCTAACCCCCACTGGGGACTTTGTCTCCACAGCCTAAGTGAGCTTCCTAAGGACAGGGCTCTGCCTTCTCCCACAGTTCATCCACTCTGACCTCCCAGAGACAGACAGACAGACAGACAGACACACACACACAACCCATTCCGGTGGTGGGACTGAAGAAAATGTAACTTACTCCTGCATGCAGGAGAGTGGACACTAGAGGGCGCAATGGTACCAAGAAATGCCAATCTGGGCTCCTAGGAGGACTCTTAGGGCCTACCCTCAGCTTTGTGAATTCAGAAAAGGCAGGAACCCTTTCTTTGCTTCCACTAAACAAACTGAAACACCACAGCCCTGAAACATTACTGAACATTTTGATCAAAGATTATATAGAAGAATTCTGATCAAAAGGGAGAAAATGCAGAACAGAACTAAAATTCTCATGGACTCCACACTTTCTGGAGCCAACGCAGCTGGATGAATCCCTGAAACTATTGCCCTAATAATCTTTAAAACTTAACCCAAAAATATCCCCTGAAGTCTTCTTATAAAACCAAACAATAGCTTAGCTTAACTAGTAAAAAAAAGTCTCCCTTGAGCACAGTGCTCTTTTAAGAAGTATCTACATGGGATCAAAGTGACAACGGCAACTTGAAAGATTACATAGGAAACTTAGGGGGCAGTGAGTTTAAGTTAATGGGGGAGGAACAACTCAGAAAAGGAGGGTAAGAATGACTGAACAATTCAAAGAATGTAATCAATGTCACTGAATTGTTCATGTAGAAACGGTTGAATAGGTGTGTGTTTTGCTGTGTATAGTCTCAAAAACAAATAAAATTTTTAAAAAAAGGTCTTGGGGAAAAAAGAAAACCACCACAGTCCTGGTTTGACCTTTAAGGCCCCCTGACTTAATGCCCACTCTCTAGGTGTGGAAAATCTCCCAGACACTTCCCACAGGAGCTCCCTAAGCATGTACTTGGCATTGATCCAGCCAATGCTCCCCCTCCTTTCTCTGAGTCTCAGTTTCCTTGCTTGTAAACAGGACACAAATCCCCTGGAAGATTCGCTGCAGGGATCAGATGAGATCATGTAAACAAAGCACCAGTACATTGCTCAACAATAACACAGACATGGAGACCCCTCTCTGCACATTCCTTCCTCCTCCAAGAAGCCTTCCTACATTATTAGCCTCACTGAGCCCAAGTTCTCCAATAAATCCCCACGACACCCCTTGCGACAGGTTGAATTGTGTTCCCCAAAAAGTTATGTCCCAGTCCTAACCCCTGGTACCTGTGACTATGATCTTATTTGGAAATAGGGTATTTACAGATGTAATTAAGTTAAGGATCTTGAAATGAGATCATCCTGGATTTTAAAAATACAGTGAAACCTGTAAGAGTCAGAACTCGACAGGACTGCCTTGCTTTTCTGGGTGTCGCAAGTTTTCTGCCTTCGACAGGTTGCAGTCTTACCACTTTTCTCTCTCTTGTTTTAGTGAGAAATATCTGCGTTTTCCTTCTCTGACAGGCTTCCACCTTACAAAGGTGCTGGCTTTCACAAGTTTTACTGTACCAGATGCCATCAGGTTAATTCTGACTGATGGCCACCCCACACATGTCAGAGTAGAACTGTGCCCTGTGCCCCATAGGGTTTTCAATGGCTGCTTTTTCCTCAGAAGTCCATTGCCAGGCCTTTCTTCTGAGGCACCTCTGGGTAGACTTGAGCCTCCAACCTTTTGGTTAGCAGCTGAGTATGTTAACCATCTGCACCACCCAGGGACTCTATCCTGGATTTAGGGTGGCCTTAAGTCCAGTGATTGGTGTCCTCATAAGAGCAAGGACAGAGAGATCAGAGACACAGTTAGGATGGAGGCGGAGATGAGTGATGCATCTATAAGCCAAGGAATGCCCCCAGAGGAGGTGAGGAAAGATTCTAGAGCCTTCAGAAGGAGTAGAGCCCTGCCAACATCTTGATTTTAGACTTCTGGCCTCCAGAACTGTGAGAGAATAACTTTCTGTCGTTTTAAGCCACCAATTTTGTGGTAATTTGTTATAGCAGCTCTAGGAAATTACATCCTTGAATGCATACATACCCCAGCTGGATCTGCTTCCTCCAGTGGGGCACCCCAGCAAATGGTAGGAAAGGAGCACCTCTGTGAAGGAGATTGGAATGGAACATCCAAAGAAGTAGGAGGAAACTCAAGAAAACAAAGGGTACCAGGAGCCAAAGAGGGGAGAAAACAGTTCTGAGGAGAGTGGATGAGTAGGATGAGGCCTGAGAAGTGTTCCCAGGACTTGGTGGCATTTGCAGGAGCAGTGTGAAAGTGGAGCTGGGGTCTGAGACAGCACAAGCACTGGACCCTAGGAGGTCCTGCTCCCTGGCAAGCTCACCCATCCAAGGCTTCCCATTTCCTCCACTCTGCCTCCTGACTCCAGGATGTACCCTGGGTTCCCCACAGCACCTCACACTAACCAGGCCCCACACTGAACTCCAGACTTCCTTCCAAACCCACTTCTGTCCCTGGGTCCCATCTCAGTGACAGCACCATTGTCCACCTAGCCACCCAAGGTGGAAACCTGGAGGCTGTCATAGCTTCCCCTTCCTCTCCATCCATGCCGAGGAATTCCCAAGCCCTACCCAATCCATTGCCAACATCTCGCTCCGATCTGTCTAATTCTCTCCAGTCTTGTTAGTACAGCCTGAGTGGGGGGCCTCTTACCCGGCCCTGCACCCCAGCCCTCTCCTTAGTCTCCCAGCCTCCCCTCTCTCCACTTATCAGCCCTCATCAGCAGCCAGTCATCCTCTTAGCCCTCAGAATTTCATCCAATCACTCTGCTTAAAACCTTCCTGGCTCCCCAGCCTGGCCTTTATAACACGTCCTGCCAGCCCCCTCCCCAAGCCTCACCTGCACTTCCCCAACAGTTCAGCCCCACTATCTGCTCAGAGTGCCCAACAGGGCTTCCTACCTCTGAGCTTTGCACGTGCTGTTCCTTCCACCTGAAGTCCCTTTCTCACCTAGTGCGAAAGGCCACAATTCCCCATTTACCCATCAGGATCCTCTGCTTGTGTTCCTCCCACACTGGACAGCATCTACTCACCTCACCAGCAGGCGGGGGGATCCCGTGCGAGGGGGCACAGGCGGCACGCTCAGCTCTGCCAAAAGCCGCTTGGCAGGCAGTGGAGGCAGCACAGGGTCTGGGGCAGCTACGGGTGGGGTGGAGAAGCAGGCAGGTGGAAGGCAGCTCCTTCGGGGCGGGATTGGGGGGGCGGCGGGCAGCCCCTCATCCTCTCCAGCAGTGGGCAGTGGTTCGGGTGGAGTGGTGGGCTCAGGCGGTGAGCGGAAGATGTGGCGTTTCATAGGCACAGGCCGTGGGGTGGTGCGAGGCGCAGGGGCTGGGGGCGCATGGGCGCGGAGCAGGCCAGCCAGGATGCGGCGACGATGGCCAGGGAGTAGCATGCCCATGTCCAGCAAGCGAGCATCGCTGAGGCCGTGGCAATCGGCGGCCCGCAATAGTCCATGCTGCTCGAACAGCCCACTGTACTGTTCTAGGTGCAGCGCCCGCAGCCACTCAGCCACCGACAGTGCACCATCTCCGGCCTCTGCCATTGTTCCTGCCAGCAGAGATCCAGCTGGTAGGGCTCTGTCCAGATCTGCAATAAACGGATGGGGCACGAGGTCAGAGGCATGGCTGCCCAGGCATGGTCCCCAGATCTGTATCCCTCTGTGACTCTGCCATGCCACAGGATCAAGTTCTGCCCTTGAGCTTCCTTCCTCATGTCCCATGGGCCAGGCACAGCCGGCTACTGCCAGGTCTCTGAGCACAAAGGTTGTTCCCTTTGCCTGAAACCTGCACCCTCCCCCCTATGGCTTCACGGCATCCAGCACATGTGTCTCCTTTGCTAGGAAACCCTCCAGGACATCTGGGAGTTGACACATGACCACCGTGGCATGACTGGTGCTATGTCGGCAGCCCCAAATGCCCCCTGCAAAGTCCAAGTCAGGGCCCAATTCCTGCTGAAGCCCCAGTTCCCAGCTGAAAACCAGGCCCAGGGCCTGAGGGAATATGTGTGGGATTGACAGGCACCACTGCTGGCCCCTCTACATGCCCAATCTGGGGGCTGAGCCTTGTCCCACCTCCATGCCTGTGGAGGAAGCAGAATGCTCCAGGAGGTGAGTCAACCCAGCATCACGCAGCCTGTGGCGTCCTGACCCTGTGAGTGACCCCTTCCATCAACAAGTGGGGCCAGGGAGTCAATGTATAGGAAAGGTCATTCGGTTATCCACTCAGAATAGCCTGTGTGGACAATGAGGACTCAGGCTCCAACTCTGTTAACTAAGAGTTCCTAACCTGGCGGGAGTCAGGAGATGACACAAAGAGAAGGTGATTAACAGATCAAAAACCAAAAACCAAACCTACTACCACTGAGTCAATTCTGACTCATAGCGACCCTACAGGACAGAGCAGAACTGCTCCATAGTGCTTAACCACTATGCCACCCGGACTCCTTATTTGCAGATCAAAGGAGAAAAATCATATGATCCTCTCCAGATCCTAAAAAGGCACTTTAATATCCAGCTTATTTAACACACACACACAAACTTACTAAAATAATAGAGTGATACTTCCTTAAACCAAAACCAGCATCTTGCTTAATGGAAAAACAATAGAAAATTTCCCTTTAAAGTCAGGAGTAAGACAAGGATGACCATTTCACCACTATTATTATTTCGCATTGTTCGAAAGTTCTAGATAGCCAAAATAAAGAGGAATAAATACTGGGGAGAAAGAGATAAAAAATCCATTAGTTGCCAATAATAGGAGTTTTAAACTGGAAAGCCCAAGAAAATCAACTGAAAAACTATTATAAATTATAAAATAATTTATTGAGTAGTTGGATTCAAAATTAATATAACAGAAACCAATACTTATAAGCAATAACCAGGTAGCAATAAAGAATTTAGTAAGATAGTTTAGTTCAATATTAATATGACAGAAATCAATATTTATAAACAATAATCAGGTAGTAACCAGGAAGAAAAGATTCCATTGTAAATAGCATCGTAAAATATAAATACCAAGAATAAACTTAGTAAGAGATGTGCAACATCCAGAAGAAGAAAACTGAAGTGTTACTAAGAAGCAAAAAGAAGAGATAGCATGTTCTTGGATAGAAGACATCATAAAAATGTTAATCCCCCCATACTATTCTATAAATACATACCATCCCACTAAATATACACACAAACATTTTTTTTGAAGCTAGACAAGCTGATTTTAAAGTTCATGTGGAAAAATAAACAAGCCAGAAGAGCCAGGAAAAATCCTGGAAGCAGGAGGGGGAGGATAAAGGGTGGGAATCAGTCTCACCACACACTAAAACATATCATAAAGCTACAATAATTTAAACAGTATACGGTAGCAACACTTGAACAGACAAATCAACTGAAAAGAATAGAAAGTTCAAAAACAGACCAAAATATATATGAGAATTTAGTATACAATAAAGGTAGCATCTCAAAGCAGTGGGGGAAAAGATGGGTTATTAAGTGGTTGGCACAGCTGTGACACAATCTAGAAAAAAAACAAAGTTGGATCTCTACCTCATACCTAAACTAGTCATTGCTAACTCATGGCAACCCCGTGTGTGCCAGAACTGTGCTCCATAGGGTTTTCAATGGCTGATTTTTAGAAGCAGATTGCTAGCCCATTCTTCCAAGGAGCCTCTTGATGGAGTCAAACCCTCACACCGTATACTAGGATAAATTCCAGATGGGTTAAAGATTGCAATATAAAATCCATAAAAGGATTTTTTAAAAATCACCTCGGAGAGGTGAAAGCCTTTTGAAAATAACTGAACCCCAGAAGCTATGAAATAAAGACTGAAATATTCAACTACATAATAACCAAGCATTCCTGTATGGTAAAAAGCACCATAAGCAAAGCCAAAAGATAAATGACCAAGTAAGGGATACCTGGCACTCATATTCCAAAGGGCTAATTTTACTAAAACATGCAAAGCACTTAAAAATAAGAAACTAATCAATACTATAATAGAAAAATGGGCAAAGAATCTGAAAAAAGAAATTCACAGAAAGAAAAATATAAATGGCTCCTAGACATATGAAAAAGTACTCAATTTCACGAAGATAAATACAAATTTAAAATATTCTGAAACATCACTTTCCACCAATCAGATGGACAAAGAACAAAACATCTGATAATACACAGCACTGGGTAGTGGGGTGGGAAAACAGCATTGCCCTACACATGGGTGAAAGTGCCTCAAGAAAGGGCAATGCCACAAGCACTATCAAAACCCTAAGTCCAAGGTCCCTGGGTGATGCAAACAGTTTACACTCAGCTGGTAACCAAAAGGTTGCCAGTTTGAACCCACCCAGCGGCACTGTGGAAGAAACAGGCCTGGCAATCTGCTTCCATAAAAATTACAGGCCAAGGAAACCCTATGGGGCCGTTCTACTCTGTAATGCGTGCAACCTCCTAAATCACAAAACAAAAACAAAACCAACCACAAAACCCAAGTGCTTCTGCCCTTTGACCCAGCCACCCTTAGGCATTTATCCTGCAGTGGTACAGCATTCATGTGAAATGACCTGTATAGAAGGTTATCTACTGCAGCACTGCGTATAATAACAAAAGTCTGGAAGTAACCAAAATGTCCATCAGTTGGGGAATGGTTAACTAAATTATGGTGCAGTCATACAATAGAATATTGAGCAGCCATTAAAAAAAAAAAAATGAGGAAACTCCTAATGTCTTGATAAGGGATAACATCTAAGATATATTGTTGAGTAAAGAAAAGTGTAGAATAGTATGTATAGCATTCTGCCTTTTATGGGAGAGAAAAAAAAAAACAGAGGGAGAGGAAAGATCTATATGTATCTACTTGTAAATGCACAAAATATCTCTGGAACAATACGCAAAGGTTGCCTCTGAGGAGGGGAGCTGAGAGGCTGAGGGTACCGGAGGCAGATCCAGATGTTATGGAGCCTGAAGCTAACCAGAAGGCTGGAAGTTCAAGTGCACCCAGAGGCATCTCAGAAGAAAGGCCTGGGAATCTACTTTCAAAAAAATCAGCCATTGAAAACCCTATGGATTTTCAATAACAAAAAAAATAAATAAATTATTTTTCTAAAAAAAGAAAGAAAACCCTATGAAGCACAGGAGCTGTGGTGGTGCCAGGGGTTAACAGTTCAGCGCTAACCAAAAGGTCGGCAGTTCGAATCTACCAGCTGCTCCTTGGAAACCCTACAGAGCAGTTCTACTCTGTCCTATAGGGTCACTATGAGTCGGAATCAATTAGATGGCAACAGGTTTGGGTTCTTCTGGTTTTATGGAGCACAACTCTACTATGACACACATGGGGTCGCCATGAGTCAGAGTTGCTCAACAGCAAGTAGGTTTTTTTTCTGGAAGCTTACACAATTTGGATCCCTTCTTTAAGAAGAAGAATCCAAAAATATCTTACTTTAGTAAAAATTACAAAAACACACAGCCAGATGCACACACTGCCTGGGCCCTCCTTGGGTCCTGGAAGGAGCCCTGGAGCTCGAGCTCCATCAGCTTCCTGGAAATCAACCTCTGGGTAGGCGGGAGACTTTTCACTGTATATCTTTGTGTCCTACATTCTGAATTCTGTAAATTAAAAAAAAAGGCTACTGAGGGACCCAAGGGAAGACATAAGAAAAGAGAAATGCATTTCATGTTCTTGGAGAAGATGGTTTAATGTGATAAAGATGTCAACTTTTCCAGGGTTAAGCTAGAATTTAACGCAATCCCAACTAAAAATACCAACTGGAATTTTTTGACAGGTAGATTCTAACGTTCACATAAAATTCTATTAAGGATTAATTGTCAAATGAAAAAGCAAGGCACAGAACAGTGTTATAATATGCAAACATCTGGATTAAAGAAAAAATACACATATACATACCCACACAAGAGTCCCTGGGTGGTGCAAACGGTTAAGTGCTCAACTACTAACCAAAAGGTTGGTGGTTTAAACCCACCTAGAGGTACCTCAGAAGAAATGCCTGGCAATCTGCTTCCAAAAGGTCACAGCCTTGAAAACCTCATGCAGCACAGTTCTACTCTGACACATATGGGGTCGCCATGAGTCGGAATCAACTCAACAGTAACTAGTACTGGTATACCCACACATGTTTACAAAGAATATGTCTGGACAGATACATGAAAAACTGGCTGCCTCTGGGGAGCGGAACTGGGCAGCTAGGAGGACAGAAAAGGGAGGGAAAGTTACCTTCCACTATACCCTTGTGTATCTTTTTAGTTTTGTACCATTTTAAAAAAATAAATAAAATTTAAAAGCTAATGTGATAGTGTTGAGCTTCTGTTAAGGGTGATGGAAAAATCTGGAAATGGATAATGATGACGGTTGAACAACATGATAAATATAATTAATGCCACTAAATTGTACATGTGAAGAATGCTGAAATGGCAAGTGTTTTGTTACATATATATTTACCACAATTTAAAAAAAAAAGATAACATGATAGGATGATAAAAAAACTTTCAGAAATAGATAGTAATGTTCGCATAACAGGGTGCATATAATTAGTGTTACTGAACTATACACTTAAAAGTGGTTAAAATGGCAAATTTTGTGATATACATATTTTACGATAATTTAAAAAAAAAAAGATAATGTGATAATGATGAATACAGACTGGGAAAAAGACTTAAAATTCACAGGCAAGAAGGGGAATCAATAAGCAGACAGTGACAGAGACACCCTCCTCCTCAGTGTGTAGTTCTTGTCTTCTCCCACCCCTCTGAAGTCTTCCTGGAGGCTCTGCAAGATCTCTGGGCCTCACCCTCTGCCTCCCAACCTCAGTTTTCAAAATGGAAAATGGGACCTCAGGGCTCAGCCTCCATGGAGCCATCCTCTTCCCACACCCGGCCGAGCTCCCACCACTGCACCCTGACTCACCAGCTGGGCTGCCAACGAGGTCCTCCTAGAGGCAGCAGCTACTCAGAACCGCACCCCATCATGGCCTGAGGCAGAAGCTGCAAGGACAGGAAAGGGAGAAAACCTATGAGGTAAGGCCACTAGGGTACTGAGCAGCAAGGATGGCAGAAGAGGTGAGAAGGAAGAAGAAGAAAGAGGGAAAGGGGGTGAAAGATGGGGAAAAGAAAAGAAGAGGAAGAAGGCAGAGAGAAATGAGGAAAGAGCGTGGAGGAAGAAACAGAAGAAGAGGGAAGAATTCAGGGAACCTAAAGGACGCTGGTGATGGAGGTTAGACCAGAGGTAGGCCTTCTGCTGGTGATGGAGGTTAGACCAGAGGTAGGCCTTCTGCTGGGGATGGAGGTTAGACCAGAGGTAG